GGTTCATTTTGGGATTCTCGTGGGAAGCTAGTAGCTGAAGCTGGTCCAAACAAAGAAGCAAGTAGCTCCATTATTTGAAAGCAAGCAGCTGCTATTGCCTCATTGAAAGCAAGCAACTGACCATTATTTGAAAGCAAGCAGCTGCCAATTGCCTCGGCCATTGAAAGCAAGCAGCTGACCATTATTTGAAAGCAAGCAGCTGACCATTGCCTCGGCCATTGAAAGCAAGCAGCTGGCGCAAATCAAATCGGTTAGAGACAAGCTAGCTGGTCCATTTATTACAAGCAAGCAAGTAGCTCAAGCAAGTAGCTCAAGCAAGTAGCTCAATTTGTACTATAAATAGGGGGAGAAGACACACACACTAGACACCCTATTTTCTTCACTTTGCTCTTCCTTTCTTGTATTTGAAGTTAGCCGAAACTCTGTCCACTTTTCATTCCAAACTCTTGTTACCTCTTTTCATTTCGTTAATCATATCTCGTATTTCATCCATCGTGGTTCTCATGTTCGTGTTCGTATTTGGGAATACCGTGGTATATTGCGTAATTGAGATTACCGAAGTAAGCTTCTGTTCTGTGGGGTTTTGATAATCATTTGTGGTGGTAGATTGGTCGGTTTCCACCGTCTTCGCCCAACGATTATTCCCCCGTCAGATGTTTGCTAGGTGTAGTCTATTAACTCAATATACATACCGTATTCTCAACCCCTCCGTCTTTGTCGTCGTCATCATCATGGTAATGTTCTCAACCTTCATCTTTCTAAATCTCATCATGTCCGGCTAATCTTCTAGTTGTTCCGGATTTGATGAACCCTAATATGTTTTACTTTGATTGAGTGGTGTCTTTGATATAGACGTGTTGTTCTCGTTCTTACGATCTTTTCTCGACTTATCATGTGCAAGTATCAATAGTACGCGTCTATTGTATATTTTGTCTGATACATGTAAATGAGACTGCGAGGTAATTTTGCATGTTAGATCCCTCGTGAAAAGAAGGAATTGATCGGAGCCACCGGCTATGGGGTCACGTAGTTCCTCTGGATTAGCTTAAAAACCTAATACGAAAGTTCATAAATCTGGTTATTGCTTTGGTTTAAGATTTTTGTAAGCCAAGGTTTCACTTGATTCTTAAGTCAAAAGGGTGTTAATACATGTGCGAACGGGTTAACACTAAATTGGGAATTTTCACGGTCTAAGATATTAACACTCGTCTATGTTAAATTCAACTTGTCTGTAAAATGCATATTAGGGGGATTCACTTCCGGGACAACGACTTCTCCACTTGATTTTACTTTGAAAACTACTTTATTGTGTTTTTATTATTGCGTGTGTTTTTATTTCTAAACGAAAATCAACTAAAAACGATGGACTAGATAATAGGTAAAAGCTGAGTACTAGTACACGAAGTCTCTGTGGATACGACCTTGCTTCCTGCTATACTACATTAGAACGATAGGTACCCTTGCCTATTTTTCCTGTGATAGTTACGGGCGATCAGGATAATAGAAATTGCCAACTCTCACTAGAACATCCTCCACAATACCCCTAGGACTAATGACAGAGCGATCGACCAATGTGACACTAAGCCTAGTGGGCTTCAATTCACCCAAATGCAACTTCTTAAAAAGCTTGGAAGGCATCACATTAATGCTTGATCCTAAGTCCGCCTAGGAGTTTTCTGTATGATGATTTCCGATGCAAAGGGGGATAGTGAAACTACCTGAATCCGGTTGCTTTTTAGGCAACTTGTTGAGGATAAAGGCAGAGCACTCCTCGCCCGAGGTGACATTGGCGAGGTCTTCATATTTCGGCTTCTTGGCGAGAAGCCCCTTGAGGTATTTGGCATACCTCGACGTGTGCACCATGGCCTCCTAGAATGGAATGGTGATGCAGAGTTTCCTGAGCATCTCCATGAATCCTCCAGACTCTGCCTCCAATCGGTCCTTGTGCATTCTTTTGGGGAAAGGAAGAGGAGGCTTATACTCAGCCACTTGTGGTGGCATTGGAAACTCCTTCTTAGGGTCTTCCTCTGTTTCTCCCACTTCTTCGGGATCATTGGCCGATGGAGGGGTCTTCTCTTCTTCGTTCACATTCTTAGAAACAACCTCCGGGGTAACCTTACCACTCCTCAAAAGAATTGCATTGCACCCAACATTTTGATCTTTGGGGTTAACAATTGTTTGAGAGGGTAGGGCGCCCCTTGGCCTCTCGGTGAGGATCCCGACAAGATTGCCAATTTGCACCTCCAAGTTTTGAAGGCTTGTTTGATGGCTCCTTAATCCCGCCTCAACCGAGGTAAACTTTGTTGTTTCCACATCCATAAATTGCTCAATCTTCTCAAACTTTTGAGTGCTCGTGCTCACAAAGGTGGTCACAAGGTCTTCTTGCAAACTTGTCGATTTGTTGGAACCCTTGACCTCCTTGAGCTTGCAACAGTTGTTGGAAGTTAGAGCCTTGGAATTGCGGCCTTTGTTGATAATTTCCCATTGGTCCTTGGAAAACGGGGGGTCTTGGATTGGTCGGAGAAGACCAAGAGAAATTCAGATAGTTTCGCCACCCCGGGTTGTAAGTGTTGCTATAGGGGTTGTTCCCCCTAGCATTGGAAATGAACTCACTTGCTCCTCGGGTGTGCTTGATTCCTTCATCATTTAACAATCCGAAATCTCGTGGTTGGTACTTGAACACCAATCACATGCCATTACCGACCTCTTCCCATGCTTCTTGTCCTCTAGGATTGCCTCAATCAAACGAGCAATCTTGGCTTCAAGCAAATGACTCACTCCTAGTCCTACAATTTGCACTCCCTTGTGGTGCTTCTCTTTCCATTTCTTGTCAAGCCCCAATCATACCCTTTACTTTCCATATATTCAAGCAACTCGGTCACTTGGGGTGGAGTCATGTTCATCAATTTCCCTTGACATAAGGAGTCAATGAGGATCTTGTCGTCTTAGTGGAGACCACCATAGAAGATCGCAATCCAGAATTGCTCCTCGAATCCATGATGTGGGCATAGGAGGAAGTAATCAGAGTACCTTTCCCAAGCGTCCCCCAATGTCTCATCTTCCTCTTACTAAAAATGGGTGATCTTCTTGCGCCACTCCCCCGTCTTTGAAGGTGGGCAATAACGAGTCATAAACTTGTGGATCATATCATCCCACGAAGTGATCGAGAGAGCCGACCTATTGTTGAGCCACCGAGAGGCATTCCCCGCAAGAGAGTAGGGGAATAGCCTCAACTTCAAAGCATCCTGAGGGACCCCATTGATATTCAAACTCCCCACAAGTTCAATGAACTTCTGAACATGCACTCTTGGAGACTCATTGCTAAGCACATGGAATAGGACATTGTTCTGAATCATGGTGACAAGGGAGTGCTTGATCTCAAAATTGTTGGTGGCCACGGGTGGATGTCGAATGTTGGGTTGAATATCCGCCGGCCTTGGAGCCATGTAATAGCCCATGGTCTTCGGTTGCTCCTCCGCGGCCGCTCCACCATGAGTGAGTTGATTAGCCGCTATTTCAGCTTCACTTCCTTCCCCTTCGGAATCAACCCCTTCCTCAACTACAGCTTCCTCTTCTATCCTCCTTCTTGCCTCTGTTAGTTCACTCTCACGAGCCAAGTATCGAAGAGTGCGGTTGAGATCCTCGTCTAGTGGTGCCAAAGGTGACGGATTACTCCGAGTCATACACCTCCCTGCGCACACTCAAAAGAACCACAACACGTCTAGCACAAGCAAGATTCACAAATTCAAAGCGAAAATTAAAAGCTAGATTAACACCAAACAATCTTTTCAAATCTGGCTATAAGTGGCACAAAGGTGATAGTTTTGGCTATACAAGTGTATTTTGCCTAGTTAAAACTATTGAAATACTAAGAATTTGTCAAATGTTAACTTCCAGTTAGCAATTTTGTTAGTAATATTGACTGGGCAACATGATATTGACTTGGAAGATACACATGAATGTTAACATTCCAAAAATTTAGTATTTTAGTTGAAAAAAATAGTATTTTAACTAAGAAAGTTACAAAATTATTAACGATAACGTAAAAATGACTAATATTTTGATGCATTACGAAAGATTTGGCTAATTAATAGCATTTTGATAGGTTTGGATAATATAAAAGAATCTAAAAAAGGTTTGGATAAAAAATAGATATTATCCAAAAAAAACAATTAAGAGGTTGTTTGGATGGATCAATTGAAAAATAAATAATTTGGTCAATTATCTCATTTTACAAAATGAGTTATTTAAAATGAGTCAATTCGAATTGTCTGCATCCACCCTATACAGTTATATCTGCCTGCAAACGAGTCAATTTGAAATTCCCTAGACAAAATTGCTTCATCTAAAATTTGTGCTCCCAAACCAATTAATTTGGCCAGATTGTCTAAAAAAACAATTTGGTCAAATTGATCCGTTAGAATTTTTCATCTAAACAATATCTAAGAACTCGATATTTTCTATTTCAAGAACTGGACTAGATGTCAAACCCAAAAAAATTAGGATGACAATTTTGTCCATAATTCTATATTCATGGTGTTTTACTATCCAACCTAATTTGGTTGAGTTCAAAATCCGGATAGATGGTAAATAGATAGAAGTTGATGAGTTTGTATCTATATTTATCTATCTATTTATATAAATTATATTATAGTTATTTTAGAGCAACCTTTTGCCACGTAGAATTCAACAAACTCCACAATTTTTCATGTTATTTTTATCATTTTAGTTTTTTCCCACGTTAACATAACTGGCAGAGTCTCGAAAAGGGTTAAAGTTGACTGGCTCCCCCTCTACTCCATCACCCTGCTCCTCGCCTTCCTACATGTCAGTTGGCTGCTCCTATTCAGTTTGCTCCTCCTCCTGCTGCTTTTTCCTCTCCTATTAAATATCAGAATCTCAACGCAGAGAGGGTCTCTAAGGCAACCAAGTGGATCTCTTTCTCAGCGCATAGAGATAGACGAGATTAATAGGGATAACCACACACATGTAAAGGAAGCCGCGATCTGCTATTAGGCAAATGGTTTGGCTAATCTACCTAGTTACAAGGAATCACATACATAACAAAGAGTAGAAACTGTGAAGGGAGGAAACTGAACCAATGAATTTACAATATGCTCTGAAGCTAATGTGCATGAAAGCTGTCAACTTTATCAAGCCTCGCAGTACCCGAGCTGGAGGATTCACCCATCGCATCAGGTGAGTTTGCCATCTGAGAAGGCTCTTTCTTCAGAGAAGTTGGCATCCCTGATATCTCCTGACAAACATACACAACCCGCATAGCAAATGGAAAGCTCCATTAACGGCAGGCCACAAGCAATGCTACCACAAGTCATTTACTACAATTTGAATACAAAAGCAAAAAGACAGATGTAGTCGATGATGATAGGACTGTGAAAACATATTCAGAATCCTAGTCTGTAACTCATCCGGAAGCTAAGACACTCTTGTATTCTATTACAGCCAATTAAGTAACAGATGTTTGGAAGCAAGAAGTTTGTAAAGGAGAGTGTGGTAGATCACTACCTTCATGAGATGCAATCTCATGTCGCAGGGGCGAACTTGGTTCCCGATACATGCCATCACAAACTTGGAGTAGTTGAACAATAAATCAGCAGCAGCTTCCTTTTTCTCTTCAATCTGCCAATAAACCACCATCATACTTTTCTCCTATCTAACAGTAAACCAACCACAAAGTACTTTGCACAATCAACCAAAAACACCCAGCTGAGAGAGATTCATTCCACAAGGAAGAAAATCTGCAATATAATCTGAATATGGAGAGATATATACTGCAAAATTTCCTAAGATTTAGAGACCATAACTTAGAATTTCTAGGGTTCCAGGCCAAAGGTTCATCTAATTCTCGATCAATTAACATCGAGAAACCTCTAATTAAGTTGCAAAAGAATTAGCCGCCACTGGTTTCATTTGACGACAACAAGGACCGGTAGAAAGTCGATACCAGAGAAGGAACCTGGAAGGAGACATATTAAACAAAAGAAATGAAGCTAGAGAGAGTATAAGGATTGGTTACCTCGTAGTCTTCTTTCATTTGCCCAAAATCAGATCTCGATCAAACAAGACAGCCCTCTCTGCGCTGAGATTTGCTTTGTTTGCCTTAGAGACCCACTTGTTCTTTAACAGATCTGAGAAAGGTGCCGGTTCCTCCACCAAACCACCAGAATCGGGTTCTGGAAAGAAGAGAAGACGTCAGATACACATGCAGCAACAGAATCAATGAAAGATAAGGAGAGATAGAACCAATTAATGAAAGAAAATGGGTATGGAACAGAGGACAGACAGCAGCTCTCAATGAGAGCCATATAGCAACTTGTGCATTGAACGTCAACTATATGTTAGCAATATACAGTCATATAATAGCGACTCAAAATTTAGGCTTCAAAGCTTCGCCCCTTGAGGTACTTGCTACATAAATTTGGCTTGTAAATCTGTCTATACGATAAATCTAACAAAGAGCGAATACAAAGTTCATATCTTTTCAATAAAAAACGAAGATTGAGTAGATAACTTGATCTAAACCAGAATTGTAGATCTATTTTCCACAGACAAAACGAGGGTTATACCTTGGTTTGCGCAGGATCCAGCTATTAGTCAGACGAAAGTCACGAAACCATACCACGGAGATACAGAGCCAAAGCACCGGTTAAGAGAGACAACGTCGGACCTTTAGAAAACATAAAATTGCTGTACTTGTTAAGTGCAACACAACCAGATCGAGATATTTTGGTACAATACTGCAAAGCCAGCAGATTTCGACATAGGAGATAAAAATAAGTTGGGATCTTTTCTATGAAAATTAAAGGATTGAGGGTCTGCACCGTGCGATCTAACCGAAGGAAGCAGAAAGAGGCTCTTTCAGAACAGAAAGAAAAGATTATCTTCGCAAGCACTTGGTACCGGCGGAGGGAGAGGAACCGGTGGAGATTCTTCTTTCTTCGAAACAACTAGGAGAAAGGAAGAGAAGAGGAGAACGGAGGAGATGGGCGAGGCGGATAGATCTGCAACTGCAACATACGCAGGCTGGATAAAGTCATCAAACCGGTCAAGCAAGTATTTGAGATTTATTGGTCAGATTGAGGTCTAACGAATTTGAGCCATTTATACATTTTTTAAATATATATACAAATAAAATAGTAATTAAAAAATAATAACTAAAATGAAATTCATTTTACATTTTTCTATTAAAAATCTAATTCACAAAAAATAAAATCTACCTAACCTCCAAGTAGGGATGGCAATGGGTCGGGTTGGGTCGGGTTTTGTCAAACCCAAACCCAAACCCATGGGTTTATTTTTGAAAAAAACCCGGGGTAAAACCCACTGGGTTTGAAAAACTCAAACCCAACCCAACCCGTTGGGTACCCGCGGGTTCATGGGTACCCACGGGTTTTGTCGTAAAAAATTTACAATTACAAGTTCTTATCAAAATTAAAGTCAAATATCAATCTCTCAATACAAATTATCCATATATAAAACACCATTCTAGAAAATTCAAGCAAATCACAAATTAACTATACAAATTGTTCAACACCAATCTAGAAAACTCAAAAAAATTGAAGCAAATCACAAATTTTCCATAAATAATATGTTTAATTGAAAGCTTCTTCCTTTCAATTAAGTTTCTTTACTCTCCACTCCATAACATCAACTTCATTCTACACAATTAAAAAGAAAAAATTAGACATGTCTCCACAAACATAAATAAAATTAGTTGTTTAGAATATTAAATATACCGAAAAAATTAATTATATGGGTGGGCGGGTACCCACGGGCCGGGTTTATCTAAACCCAAACCCAACCCAACCCGTTGAATAGTGAACGGGTTTAAACCCAAACCCGGCCCAAAACCCGTCAACACGGATTTTACCCGCGTTGACCGGGTTGGGTCGGGTGGGTGCCCGTGGGTTCGGGTTTTGTTGCCATCCCTACCTCCAAGATTCATCTACTATCTTCCTTCTCTCTCCCTCCTCTCTTTTCTCTCTCTTCTTCTCCATCTTTAGAGGTTAGACATGAGGGCTTTTTGCAGACCGTTTTGAAGCTTAATTTTGGTCGGACCGGGTCCAACTGGGGGGGGTCCGATAGGGGTTGAACAACCTTGAGAGTTAAGGACTTAAAGATTGTAATAGGTTTTTAAAATTGACGATATATATTCACTGGTATGGGAGCTATAAAAATTATTATGCTGGGTCTCATCCAATCTTTCATCGACATTGGCTATACCTAGTGTTTTTTTTTTTACAAAAGATAATCAAATATAATGATCGGAAAAATAGGCAATTACATCCTGGAATTCAGTCAGGCCAAAAAATTAAAAGAGCGACTCATAGTCGGGTACAAAAGAAAAGGCATTCCTAGCCACCAAATGGGCTACCATATTGCTACGCCGACCTACAAGTCGCACACTAAGCCCACTATGATTAGGAAACAGATGCTCAACCTCTTCAAGAACAGCCCCAACAGATGATTGTTGGTATCATCTCGGCGGATCTTCTCAATGACCACTTTGGCATCACCTTCAAACCTTATCTCTGTGAATCCATGGCTTAGACACCAAAGAATAGCCTCCCGAAGAGTAAGCAGCTCAACAACCATAGGATCATCAATCACATGAAATTGTTCCTTTGGCCAAGAGGATTTCCCCAACTTGACTCAAAATAATCATCCCACCTGCCAAATGGGATCCAGACTTAGTTGTCCCATCCCACATATAGACCACTAAATTCGGATGCACCATATCCAACGACTGTGGGTGCGGGATGGACATTGAAAGACCATAGTCTACTGGCAAACTAATCCATTCCTGGTATTGCTGGTTAAATTGTCGCATTAGGGCAGGGATCTCAAACTGCTTGCCCTCAAAGACTACCCAGTTACGTGACCACCAGATCCGCCAAAGGACTGCCACAACCCTGATTCAGGCTCATTTGTACACTTTTTACCCTCGGTTTGCTTAGTCGTTTGAAGCATTTATACTCCGAGAAATTAGGTTTTACGCTGGGCTATGCCTTGTTCTGGTGTTTTTCAGACTTTGGCAGATAGAACCAACCCCGGAGTTGAAGGTTGGACGAAAGGGCGAAAAATCAAGTCAAATGGTGAAAACAACATCAAAACACAGTTTGGGCTGTGAGTTCACAGTCACTAAGACCGTGAACTGGAGGCGATTCCTGCGAACTGCCAGGCATCCAGAGAACAAATGGTTTTCACTAGACACGAGTCAATTCACGGTCGTATGACCGTGAAATTAGGCCATTGCTCGTGAACTGGAATTAGTGATGCAATGATTTCAACTTTGGTTCGCGGTCTGGGCTTTCAGTTCACGATCGTGAACTAAGACCGTGAACTGAGCCCGATCTAGGTATTAAAGGAGGTTGAGCCAAAGGAGAAAAGAGAGAGACCTACTGTGATAAAATTCTTCTTCTTCTTCTTCTTCTTCTTCTTCTTCTTCTTCAGATTTCTAGAGTGAGAAAGTGACGAACCAAAAAAGAGGAGAAGCTAGGGTTTCATCTTCAAACAAGGATTTGGGAATTCCTCCCCAAAGGAGGATCTCTTCAACACAATGAGCAAGGCTATCATCTCTTTGATGGTTTTCCTTCTTCTCTCTTGTGTTTTCCCTTCTCCTAGCATGGAGTAGTCCTGATTCGGGTCCAATTGTACACATTTTACCCCTCATTTCTTGATAGTTTGACTTTGCATTTCATCGTTCCTCGACATATTTCGCACTAGGTTGTACTTGTTTTTTATACATTTCATGTCCTAGCACGCGTGGAAGGGTCGAGGTCGAATTTTGGGATAATTGGAGGTCAAAAAGAGCAAAAACCGAAGAAAAGTCAGAAGTTGCCCCGTAACAGTGAAGCGCAGGCGTCCAAGAAACAACCGTAGTTCACGGTCAAAGCTTATAGTTCGCGATCTCTATGGCCGTGAACTGGAGCCATAAACCATGAACCACAAGGCGTCCACTAACGAGGGTGAGTTCACGTCACCAAGACCGTGAACTTTGAGTGCAAACCGTGAACTCAAGTGAGTGAAGCGGTGCGTGTCGACATGACACTCCGAGTTCACGGTCGCGTTGAGGAGTTCACGGCCGTGAACTGGGCGCGATCTGGGTTTAAATGAGGAGCTGAAGGAAGAAGAAGAGAGCTTCATTTTTAGGTTAGGTTTTCATTTTCAGAATAAAGAGGATTCTAGTGAGAGGTTAGGGTTTCTTCTAGAGGGAGAAAGTGCAAATCAAAGGAGGAAAAAAGAGCTTTGGGCCTGTTCCTAGCTAGAGGATTGAAGATTTCTTCATCTCAAGGGTATCTCAAGCAACAAGGACGAAAGATTGACATCACTTCATGGTTATTTCTTCCCTTTTTGTTGTTTTCCCTGGTTTAACTATGGAATAGCCTACCTACTCACTTGGGTATTGTGAACCCTAGTCTCTCTATGTGTTAGGTTGCAAGAACATGAACCTATTGTGTTGATTGAGTGTTTTATATGTTATTTGAGGTATTATTCATGAATGATTGAGTGTGCTAGCTTTAACTCAATATTGGGTGAAATTAACCTAGAGGGTGGAAATCCCCTCTTGGTCCAATTAGGAGCTAGACTCCTTAGCCACTTGGGTAACCTCCTTTAGGTCAATTTAAGACCAAAATCTCAAATATCATAGTAGGGCAGTGATTCCACCGGGATAGGTCTCTGCGCCGACCAGATTAAGTTCCGAGGGTTTGGTTTGCAATCCTTAGTCGGCTAGTTGAGAGGGTTAGGTTCCCTAGCCTATCGTTGTCATCCTTAGCCGAAAGGTTAAGGGAGTTAGCTTCCTAACTTGTTCCAATGACTCTTAATTAGCTAACTAAGAGAGAGTTAGGGATCTCCTTGGTTGATCGATAAAGAGGGCTAGACTCTCTAGCTACGAATCACAATTCTTGACCTAACGGTTAAGAGAGCTAGTTCACCTAGCTTATATTTGTTGATTTTCCTTCATTGATCGACTAAGGGAGTTTGTCCCTAGCTAGTTGCGCCACCTAGCAGTGTATGAACACGTCCTTCTCACTAGAGCTATGTTTGTCGCTTCTTAGCACGAGATTAGGGGGAGCAATACCGAGGTGAAGTCCCCTCAAGTAGAATTCTCCTCGATTTACTTTCCTTGATCGTTCACTTTGTAGTTTCCTTAGTTTTAAACCCAAAACTGTTTTGCTAGATAACAACTTAAGCGATTGAAAAAGGGGGTACATGGACCGGCCCGGGTCGACAATTTAAATACTTGCCCTATACTGCACCCGACTAGAGTTTAAAAACTTGGGCTCTAGTCGGGATTAATTCGCAGTGTAGTTTCGTGCACGTCAAGTCCCTTCTTTCACTTGGGTGTTTGTAAACCCTAGCTACAATTATGTGAATGCTTGTATGGATTGAATGATTTGTGTGTGGTTGTGTTTAATGTGAATGGGGAGGTATTATTCATGAATGATTGTGTTGTGTGAAAGCCTATCAATCTAATTGTCATTCTAACCTAGGCAGAGAGAAAACCCATTTCCTTTCTTTGAAAGAGGCTTGAATGCTGGGTTTTCTTTGGAAATTCATTGTCTCCTAGTTAGGTTAATGCAGGGCCAACCTCCTAATTCGTATTAGCACCTAGGGTTTGGTTGTGAGTGGCCATCCGAACTCTGATTCGAGGGTGAAGTCTAACCAATCCTTAGTCAATAGGTCGAGAGAGTCACGTCGGTGGCTTGGATCACATCCCTTTACCTCGACCTAAAGACTAATAGGGTAGCGCTTGGCCACTGTTACACTTCCCTACGGTTTACAACCCCCTCACCACACACGACCATTCGATCCAACAAGTCGTAATTGCTAGCTAGGGGGAGCAACACCCAGGTGAAGCCTTCTCAATTAGTGTCAAATCCATTTACTTTTGCAAACGTTTTAGATTTAGATTGTTGTTTTCACCAAAAATCAACCGCTAGATAATGTTACAAACAATCAAAGTATGGGTACATGAACCGGTCCGGGTCGATGTTTAAACATACTTGCCCTGTATTGCACCCAGTTAAGGTTTATACTTGGGACTTAATTGGGGGTTTTAAAGTGGTCCATTCGGGTTGAGTCAAGCTTTTGGCGCCGTCGCCGGGATCCAACGGATCATTATTTTGGAGAAATACCACTAATAGCCACTTCCGTCCAATTCTTTAACGGTGTTAAAATTAAATCTGACTAGACAAACGGAGATGCTGACGTGGCAAACACTTCCGTCCAATTTTATCCGTAAAATCCACGTGGATTTAGAGAATAAAAAAACCGAGAAAAAAAAAGTTCACCGCAAATCCACAATCCCCAAAATCTCATCCCCACTCCCAGCACCACATCTCAAAACCCTTCCCAGACTGCCGATAGTGCCGACCATTCCCTAAATTATTTTCTTGAATTGATTCGTTCCAGATCCGTTCCAAATCTCCAAACCTTTCTCATTCACAAATTTAATATGGGCGCATCGTTGACCACCTAGTTTAGCCAGAGAAAACTCGAAATCGAGAAGTGGCTAACTTCAACTGGCGATTTGCTGCGGAACGACAGGTCCGTCCATCGTCTCTGCATCTACAACACCAACATTTCGGAAATCAGAATTTGAGCTCCATCGATACAACCTTCAAAATATCCAGATCCTGGCGTCGCCGTCAAGCACTAGTGGATCCCAGATTGAGAAGCTGAAGACCCTAAAATGTCGTTCGTCGGGAGCTAAATCGTCGAAGAAGGAGGGGACATTAGTGAAGTCCACCCAGGTCAAGCATCTCTCTGATTCCCGACCCCAAATCCGTTTCTGCGACGCGAATCGAGGCTCAGAGTTCCGTCGCTCCCTCCCTGCTCTGACGCATACTCTGCTGCGAACCCGCGGCGGGAGCTCGAATCGACGATTGACGACGCCTTCTTCTCTGGTTCTGGTGAAGCAGAGGTGAGATGGGGGTGGCGACTGGGTGTCTTGGAAGACTCGAAGGCGAACGGGATTGAATCTGCGGGGAAGATGTAGCGAACTTGGTTGCTCAGCTTCTTCTCATCCTTCCTCTCTGCGAAGCGTCGATAGCGTCGGGGAACGAGAACCAAAGGCGGAGTTGATGCTTGAATCGAGAGAGGAAGAAGCTCTCTCTAGCACCAAATAGCTCCAGATTCTGGGTGGTCGATTCAACCCTAGATTGAGAAGATGTCGATTGGGAAGCTTCAAAATGACGAGAAATTTTGGGGGAAAGCTTCAATCGCCGATTTTTTGTTATTTGCGGGAAGTTTGGGTAGGAATCGCCGATTCAATCGCCAACAGGCAGGGAGCAAACCCTAAAAATGAAATCGGGGGATGAAAAAATTTAATTTTTTTTCTTGTTTATTTTGTGTAAATAATAAATAATTTAAATATCTGACGTGTCACTATTTGCTTAGTTGTCGCTGACGTGTCCGCTGAATTGGCGCCTCGTCAGCCGACCGTCAAATAAGTTGACGGTGTTATTAACACCGTTATAGTTTCTAACGGAAATGGCTATATCTGGCACGCAACATCTTTCAAAAGTGGCTATTAGTGGTATTTCGCCAAATCTGGCTATAAGTGGCACAAATGTGATAGTTTTGACTATGCAAGTGTATTTTGCCTTTTAACTAATAAAAAAGAATTCGAAAAAAATTTAGCTAATAAATAATAATTATTTTTTTAATAAGAGTGACACTCGATTTCACACACATGCCAACGTAAAGCTTTTGGGCCGACTCCGACCAATTCATATAGGGCTGCCCAGCTAACCTGTGCGGCTTTTGATATCATTTTCAGCCCATCATCCTTATTTCCGTGTTTACCCTCCGCTCTTCGATTAGAAACGCAAAAACCCTAGTGGTGAAAACGTCAAACCACAAGCGCTACCCATCCCCACAATCTTCCAATCCCTTCCCTCATTTAAATACAAAACCCTAATCGCTCACTCTCAAGCTCCCTTTCCGCCGCACGAGAACCCCCAACCACAAATCACACAGATCCGCCTCTGTTTCCTCCGCCTCCGGGTAGAAAAATGACCACTAGGTTCAAGAAGAACCGCAAGAAGAGAGGCCATGTCAGCGCCGGACACGGTCGTATCGGCAAACATCGCAAGCATCCTGGTGGTCGCGGTAACGCCGGAGGTATGCACCACCACCGGATCCTGTTCGACAAGTACCATCCTGGCTACTTCGGCAAGGTCGGTATGAGGTACTTCCACAAGCTGAAGAACAGGTTCTTCTGCCCGATTGTCAACATCGACAAGCTTTGGTCCATGGTTCCTCAGGAGGTGAAGGACAAGGCTGGAAAGGATGGCGCGCCGATGATTGATGTCACTCAGTTTGGTTACTTCAAGGTGCTCGGAAAGGGAGTCTTGCCGGACAACCAGCCTATCGTGGTGAAGGCGAAGCTCGTGTCCAAGACTGCGGAGAGGAAGATCAAGGAAGCCGGCGGAGCCGTTGTACTCACTGCCTGAAAATGGGTACTTGGGTTTCTTCGCTTGTTATTTGAGATAAGTTTTTGGAACCAGTATTAATGTTTTATTTACTTAGTGAAGTTCTTGGATGGGTTGAATTGTGGTATGGATGATATTTGGTTTATGCAAAGATCTACATTTGAAATTATACTTGCTTGCCGTTGAATTCTGTGCTCTTGAAATGTGGTTGCTTGTACATGCCCTAGTTTGATTGGATTCATTCTGTAGGGTTTTGGATTGATCGACGATTGAAGCTCATTTTGACTTGACTAATGAGCAGTAGTTGTAGTTAGAGGAGTCGGTCATGAATTTGAATGGTTTTGTATGGAGTTGTATCGAATGCCAGATGTGATGTATATGAGATGTTAATTGGGGCGAAAGATTTGTGAAGCAGTGGAAGCAATGTGGGTTGCTTAGTTCCTTTGGGAGATATGGCTTAATCTTATTCTCTGATAGCTTAGCCATCATTTTGGCTGATGAAGGTCGGTACAACCGGAGTGTGAAAATGCTTAGTCTTGAGACTTGAGAATATGGAGAATAGTGTTCCAGGCAAGGTTTTCCTCTTGTGGGGGACGATAGTTGTTTGTATTAAGCAGTTGAGGGCAGTTACCTCTTGTTTATGTTAAAGCATGTTCCTCTGGTTTATTATAAAACCAAAACCGGGGTGTGATGGAAGAAATCTGAAATGTCTTGTACAACAGCTTTTTGGTCTGCAGGTTGTCGTTCATTGCTGGGTTTTGTACCTGGTTTAATAATTAATCCATCCATCGTTAGCAACCAATATTACTATACACCCTTCTCTCAGTATGCCTTTGATCTGTGATTGTGCGTGAATTTGGTGGTAGTTCCCAGTGGCAGTTTATTTGCTTATATGTCTTGTGATTTCGACTTTGTCCTGTGTGTTTCTGTCATTATGTTTTTATTTGAATTGTGATACGCGCAACAGCCAACATGCAATAGGCAAAGTTAATTATGTGTTGACTTTGCTGTGAAGTTTCGAGCAAAGATGAAGGAGAACCATATAACAAGGAGTAGTTATATGTTCTGGTTTTGCCCAGGAGTTGAGCACTGCCCACTCCCAGTAGCTTTAAAATGATAATAAAGTTTGTCCCTGTTGACGCTAAATTGCGGAAGATACTAGAGTTCATTTTATATCAAGCTTTAGTCTCTTTGGTTCCTTCATCTCCTCCCCATCTTCTTATCCTTTCTTCTGCAGCAGAAGCCTGCATTTCCATAGCCCAAAACAATGTTTTTTGTTAGGATCTTTTCTGACTCCTGGACCAGATTGGTTTGCACCTCAATTAGCGAAAAACAACCAAGACTCACCTCTTTGTTCCAGTTGGTTCTGTAGACCATCCAGAAGAGAACCAGAGTCTGTAGTACTGTCCCTCCCAGCATCCCATACCAGATCCCCTGCAACATCCCAGAGTTAAAAAAAAAAAGCTTCAACAAGTTCCCGATGCCAATATGATTGCTATGTCTATTTTCTTTGCTCTCAAGCTCTTCAGCAGCCCCCCTTACCGTGACACCCAGGTGTAGCACGTAGCCGAAAATTAGACCAATGGGAATCCCAAACGCGTAGTAGCAAGCAATGTTCACATATGCCACTGCTGCTTGCCATCCTGCTCCAATGGCCACCCCTGAACCGAACAGAAGCAACAGCTCAGTATCACATTACAGCAGATCAGTTCTCATGGCAACAGCACCAAACGAAGTTCGAAGTAAAGCTTACCGGAGAGAACAGGTTGGACGTTGTTGATGATAATGGAGAGAGCTAACAATGGGGTGAGCGCCTTCACTAGTGCCTTGACGTCGGTATCGCTGGAGAACAGAGCTGGGTACCCGTTTTTGGCAATGAAGAGGATAAGGGAGATTAGGAGTCCCGTCAGGAAGGAAGATATCACTGCTACCACTAGCGAGAACCTTGCGGTTCTTGGATGGGCTGCTCCTAGTTCGTTCGACACCCTTACGCTGCACGAATGAGTCGAAGAAATGAAACAGCAAATCACTTTGCCATGAACCCTTTCAGTAATTTTACATTTGGAATTCTCAAAATGTGGTTAAGAAAATGCTAACCTGATGGCTGCATTGATTCCCAGGGCCACCATCACTGTCCACCCCAGTATGTTCATGCTGCATAAACAAATTCCACAAAGAAGAAAAGGGACAGACATCACTATCAGCCAAGTTAAATACTATAAAAATCTTGACCATTTGGCTGGATGCAAACAGGGGCAGCGAATCTCCAGTCCAATTTTATCGTTTTGTTGTTTGTCCATCGAATTATCTGTCTCTTTTCATCTAATTTCAGCATCAAGATGCAGCAAAAGCAGAACCCAAATCGGACTTCGATTGTCACATGAGTTACAGGTCAATATTTGTAGTCTCAGAGCCAGCTATCCGATAAGCACGCTTGTCGCAACCCGGCTAAGGTACTCAGTCATAAGCCAACTGCAAAAACATCGTTCAAAGATGTTTGGCATGGTTGGATCAGATCGAGACGAGTGATTTGCGATCATTGGATGAATGTTGTGACAATTTACTACATCAAATCCAGCGATAACGAATCAGCTCCACCCGATCGAACCACTCCCAGCACCACTGAGCACCTTCTCACATATGGTATGACTGTACTTGTAACGCTTGGCGTAACCATGGATACACGATAAGGCCAATTTCTTTCTGGCTATAGAAGTAGAAAGCTTAATTATGTGTAAAGTAAATGTTTGTTTGGGAAATAGCCAAACTGACCTTATGGACAAGGCATCGACAGCGACCTCTGCATTCTTCAGATACCCAGCAAAAAGGATCAAAGCCATAAAATACCAAACTTCCAAGCTGCAACCATAGGAAAAATGTTACAGCTCCAAAAACACCAAACTCTTCCCCCGAATCCCAAATTAACCCCCAAAATCCCAAAATCTGTCAAACAGGTCCTCACCAGAGCATAACAGCCGAAGCAAGTGACAACCTGACGAACCCCCACAAATTCTGAAACGCCTTCCACGAAAAGCCACTCCAGGCCTGCCCACAAGTCCCACTGAAGATGTAGAGAAGCTGAGCCACGACGATGAACCACCACGAGCCGTTGAGGACCACCGCGGCCCCCACCATCCCCCAGCCGAGCTTCAGCATGAGGAGCCAGCTGAAGAAAGTGTGGAGGACCAAGGCGACGGTGGAGATGACGGCCATGGCCATGATCTTGCTCTGAGACTGGAGGAACTTGGCGATGGGGAAGTTGACCGCGTAGGCGAACAGCTGTGGCAGCATGTAGATGGAGAAGGTCCCCGCGGCTCGGGAGATCTCCGGGGTCTGCCCGATCAGCTCGAGGAACGGCCCGGCGAAGATGTAGAGGAAGCTGAGGAGGAAGGCCGTCGTTGTGAGGATGACCCATGATCTCTGCATGTAGATTCCTAACATGTCCAGCTGTTTTGCTCCGTATGCTTGGCCGCAGAGTGTCTCCAGAGCACTCCCCATTCCAAGCTTACATTCATTGAGATGAGAGAAAGAGATGTCACCAACATCAATTAATTAAGTCTGAAGTGCTAAGTTCAGCTCTCTCGATTGCTTAAGTCAATATGATGGAACATGAATAGGATGACAATTCATGGTAATTTTATCGTAAACTCCTTGATTATGGGTAATGTATGAGGGAAGTATATATATGAATTTGAGATTTAGTCGATGGGTTTGGGTTGTGTATAGATGGTCATTTACTTGAGATTGTTTCACTCACAAATACAAAATCGGTCCAATTTGTAAAACATAAAAAATTTATATATCAAAATGTAAGACAAAAAATTTTAGGTATTAAAATATAAATTTTCGATCGATATTTTAGGATTTGTATGCAAAAAAAGCTTAAATTAGGTACTAAATCTAAAGATCTATTAACTTTAGACATCAAACTGCAATCTTCACATGTGTATGAGTATAAAGTACAAATTCAAGCCCATTGATTAAAAATCGAACCCAACCAAAATAAATGGGTATGTGCAAATTGCAATAAACTCATTAAACTTTACCCATTTACTCTGAATTTGGATTTCATAACTAACCCAATCGAGTTGGATAAGGAAATACTCATGGATTTAACCAAATTTGTCATCCCTTTACATGAATGATTAAATTTAAAATATTTAATCAGTCATATGAATTAATTGTGGATACGATAATTATTGATACCATAAGAAGGAGAGAAAAAACTACTTTATTGTGTCCTTCAATCATAATAATGAGGTTTTCATTTGAGCATACGTATCAGGAAGCACTGAGCCTTACATTAAACCTATATACAAGAAAAAATCTAGAAAGGGTAAAAGCGAGTTGGAAAAGAACAAAGTTTTGACTCTGACTTGGTGGCAATCACTTTCACCCTTAATTTGTGGAGAGGCCAAGTAGAAAAGAAAAGGGGGGAAATCATGAAGAAGCTAAGCTAGGGTGAAATAAATAATTTGTCAGAAAAGTACCATGGCACCAAAGGAGAAGCCAGCAATAACAGAGTTCTCGACAGAGATAGCAGCAAGCTCCAAGGTGCCAACATGGCCGGCGAGGACTTGGGTGACGGCTCCGAGCGAGTACTGGCACAAGGTGGTGAAAACTGCCGGGCCGGCAAGGTACCACAGCTTCTTCGACTCTGCACAGAACTCTGTGTAGAAATCCTGAAGGCCGTTGATGGGCTGGATGTCTTCTGCGTCAGCTGTAAAAGAAGGTGATGATGATAAAGGAGGAATCGGGTCTTGCTGCTGCTGTATGTTATCGTTTGGAGCAACAAGAAATGGCTGCTTGGATTCCTCCATCGAAAGGAATAGAGGGTATAGGGGATCTGGAGGAGAGGAGTCTTTTTTTTCTTCTTCTTCTTCTTCTTCTTCTTCTTCTTCTTTCTTTTGGGTCTGCCTGAAAGTTCGGTTTTAAGGAGTGGAAAGGAGAAAGGGAGGGTGTATTTTTTGTTTGTAAAATGAATAGACATGTTTCAGAGATTTGTCCTTTTTTTTTCTTCTTCTTGTAATAATGGACTAATGGCTTGAAAACTATATTTTTCTAAATTGTTGGGTTTTAGCCTTTTGTCTTTTGGGGGGTGTCCATCATCATTGGCAGTAATTATTAACCTTTTCTCTACTTAATTGTTTTATTAGTGCTTGGAATTTAGTTTCTAGCCACTTGATTCATTCAACAATGAGAAATTCACAAATTCATTGTCAAAGAAATTCATTATACTTTTCCGCTTCATTGCATTACTTAGTTGTTGTCATATATTTACATCCGAGAACTTTCATGGTTAATCATATACGGTTCTTTCGTAATTACGATGCACATTGTACCTCCATTTTAGTGCACTACATCAACACAAGAATTAACAAATAACCACTAAGAAAAATAAAAGATATAGAATAATGTCTATTTTTATCCAAATCTTTATGTTTATTAATTAGCCAAATCTTTCGTAACGCATCAAAATATTAGCCATTTTTACGTTATCATTAATAATTTTGTAACTCTTTTCTTAGTTAAAATACTAAAATATTGCAATGTTGACCTTCATGTGTCTCTTCCAATTCAGTATCATGTTGCCAAGTCAATATTACTAACAAAATTGCTAACTGGAAGTTAACATTCGACTAATTTGTAGTATTTTGATAGGTTTGGATAATATAAAAGAATCTGAAAAAGGTTTGGATAAAAATAGACATTACCAAAAAATATATGATATCCACAACTCGAATATATATGAGTTTTTTTCATCTAAAAAAAGAATATATATGAGTTTGAGATTTAGTAGATGAGATTGCGTTGGGTATGGATGCCATTTAGGGCTGAAGTGGCAGTGATGTGGCTTCCATGTCATTTATTTATGCTAAAATTAAATAATAACAAATAAAATAAAAATAAATAACATAAAATTTTCGGATTCCTCTCTATCGACTCTCTTACCTTCTTCCTTCTCTCCCTCTATCTTTCCCGTCCACAAGCGCCATCACCTTTCCCCTCTGTCGTGATCGTCGTCCCTCATATTCCACTTCGTCGTCGTCGTCCTCATCAAGATCGAATTCGAGTCCGATTCGGGTTGGTGAGAAGTGGAGGGAGCTGCAAGAAGAGAAAAACAACTAGTGGTGGTTCGTCTTCTCCCTCGAATTTCATCTTCTCCCTTGAATCGATCTGGAGGAAAAACAACTAGTTAGCAGCTGGAGATTTGAGGCCAACGATTTCTTCTCTCCTCGCCATCGGTTGCATCACCTATCAGGCAGCGCCATCGATTGTGGCGCAGAGGTCATCGACGCGATTCCTCTTCCTCTTGTTGGACTGTTGAGCTTCGCCCGCGTGGACATTCTGCAAAATTTTTATGGAGAGGGAAGGAGGGAGCTTTCTTTAGAAGAATGAAATGAAGGCAGCTGGTGGTGGCAGAGCATGACATCGAAGAGCTGTCGGCCGCCACCGACAACTTTGGGAAGAGAGGGGGTGGGAAATGGGGGTTAGCTAGCTAGGGATTGGATAAATCATTATTGATGGATGGATGAAGGTCAAATAATAGGGGTAGAAGAAGGCAAGATTGGTGAAGGTCAAACATTCACAGGTCATTTGCTTGAAGGTTTTCATGATGAATTTGGGCATGGAAACCCATCCATCATGGATTTGCACTAAAAACAATTGTTTGCATTAGAGAATTAGCAAAATGAAATCTGTGGGGCCCACGAACTTTGGGGCTCCAAATCCGTGGGCCCCATGGATTTGATGGTTCTAGCTATTGAGGTGGGTTTTCATCATGGATTGAAGTCCATGATGTGTATTTACACCCTTGTCCCTCCATATTTTGTTATTGTCAGCCTTGCCCTTCTGTTTAGCCTTTCCGAAAATTTGGTAGATAAAAGGTGAAGCTTCTGTTTGCGAGCCGCAAGGGAAAATTGCGAGGGAAAACAATTGATGAAAATAACTCACGACAAGGAAGTCAACTCCTCTAATAGAGAAGCTTTGCCTCGTCATCTTCGACTCTTCTCCTCCGTCGCTATCTCCATCTTCACCTCCATCGCTGCAACCAGGTATGCTTTCTGTGGGTGTGATGTTGCAACATCTACTCTAACACTAGATGATGACGTGTTTGTAGCTTTGGTTAAGGTAATTTATTACATATAAGTTCACGTGGTCTTTGTATATATGTATTGTTAGTCATTATCATCTGAACACAAGTGCTTCATTGTAGGTTTTCCCAAACTACAAAAATATGAACGAAAAGCCTGTCTTATTCTATAATGACATGTTGAAATTGTTTGGGAAGGTTGGACCTGCAAATGAAAGGAAGACTGTTGGTCTGACCAATGATGTTCATTCCCCAATGGTCGATGTACCTGCATTTTTTGACTTGGATGGGCTTCAGACGACGAGTGTAGAGAGGTGAGTGGAGTATTTGATAAATGAAGGGATTGAGAGTCAGAGGGTCACTCCTCCATCCCTAGCAGTTGTGCCTCCATCTCTATCTGCTGTTCATCCAGGACAAGGGAGCAATAAGAGGGCTAAGAAGATAGAGAGTAAGATGGATGATGCTATTGCTGTCGTAGCTCAGGAATTATGTGGGTTGAAGCATGTCATATCTAAGGCACTTGATGCTCTAGGCACCATTTTAAAAGACTGTGAGGAAGACACTAGAAAGGAAGCTGCATTGATGGTTGAGATTGGGAAAATAGAAGGTCTGGAACGCTGCCAAGGGCTAGATGCTACAATGGCATTATTTGAGAATGATCGCAAGACAAGACTTTTCTTCACTCTTGACAATGAGGAGGATCAGAAGTACTTCATTCACAACTTATTGCATTGGGAAGTGCTAACTCATGGGAGCTATTAGTTATAGTATGTAGTATCGTGCATAGTATATTGTGTCGTATATATGTATGCAAGATTGTGCATTTTGAACAGAACACATATAGTATGGATAGCATGAAAATGTTAAAGTAGGAGGTCGATTATGTTGGACAATTTCCAAACCATTCCAATATGTGTCGAAGAATTGGCTATGTACTTAGTTTAAGTTGTATATGTCTGACTTATTAATATATGCAGGTTATTATGTATGTTGCAATCTTTGTATTTTCACTTCCATTGCTAATTAGAAAAACAGAAGCAATCTTTTTATACTCACTCTGAGTTGGATGGTTCTATACAATGCCAAAATGGCTATTACAGGACGTGCTAAATACTGAATGATCACAAACTCTACTATCCAAGTATGCAAACTTGTGGGTTGATCCGTGATATGCAGAAAGCAGTATCAAAGCTACCTAGAGAACTATCTGCAGAAGCCAAATTCATGAATCAAAGCACCTCATTTCATTACTCCTTAAATCTTCCATTACACAACTCTGCTTCTCATTAACAAGTCTATTGGGATCACTTTAATGGAGCACAAAATTGCAGCACTTAGCAGCCCTAGATTCTAATTTGAAACACCCATATAGTCATTAGAGCTTTGAACTCCCAACCTCCAAGTGGTCCGACCTCAATTTAATCGAATTAATGGCAACAACTATCTCTTCGTAGCATGATATCATATTCTTGCTTTCAATTCTAGCATCAACACTATGCTTGGATACTTTGTCTAATTCAACACGAAGATCTGCATTCTCCAGTTGCAAATTCAAAACCATTTCACCAAGTCTTTTTCTCTTATTGTATAATGCAGCTCTAATGTCGTGCCATTCAAAATCATCACAAGGTTCCTTCTACTCTATCCACAAACATGCTACGGGTCACTAGCTCAAGCAAGACAAACTAATGCACTTAAAAAACAAAGCTTTGAACAAAATTACCGAAACTCAAACCTTAGAGTTGGGTTCCAAATCCCACCTGATTGCTGTAGTAGCTGTTGGAGCCTGTCGACGAAATTTGCTAACAAATGGGAGTTCGCAGGTAGAAAGAGGTTTTCTGCGGAAATGAGATTCGAATACATCAGAAAGAGTTCTCGATCTGCAAAGGCAGCTCGTGGGAAAAGAGAGAACGAGAAAGAAACGTCTTTGTGGGCTGCAATTGGTATGTGGAACCCATAAAACAAATAACTGCTAATAATGCAATAAGGTCATTTCACTTTATATCGTAAAAAACTAATTAAACATAATCCATAATAAAATCCATGAAACAAACAATAGTTTTTCAGAAGTCCATAATGAACCCAAAACCCTAATAAGTCCATGGTTTTGGAAAACCCAAGGTTTATTATGTTACGGGACAATCCAAGTACCACATTAGTAATACAAGGGAAGGAACCCTTGTATATTAGTGTCCACCTAGCCCAACTAGTAGGAGGCCTTTTGGGGAGGACACCCAAGAGTAAAACCGTGCGGGCTTGGCCCAAAGCGGACAATATCGCACTAATTGAGCACCCCCGATTATGACAAGTGGTATCAGAGCCGCGGTTGGAAATCATGCTAGGGTTTTCGATTAAGAAGAATGATGTCGGTGAACATGAAGATCGAAAAAGTTCACAGGGAAGAGCAACTTCGCTATGTGGGAGATCAAGATGCAAGCTTTATTGAAACAACAAGGGCTGTGGGGGCTGCTGTCTGCGAAACAGAAGAAGGCAGCGATCGATGACGATGAGTGGAATACCCTGGAGGAGAAGGCCCACTCGACCATCATGCTATCGCTGTTTGATGACGTCATCATTGAAGTCGTTGCTGAGAAGACTGCCGCGGGATTGTGTTTAAAGTTGGGAACAACTTAATTCTATCTTGCTAGACTTACGCAATATAGATGTTAAGGTTGACGATGAAGATGCTGCCCTAATCCTGCTTGTGTCTTTGCCGAGTTCATATAAGAATATCATGGATTCTTTTATTGCTGGTAAAGATAGCTTGTCGTTGGAGGATGCCAGATCTGCTCTTCACACGACAGAGATCAGACATAAGGCGTCCGGTTCTGGTACAGGTGGTGAAGCATCGGGTTTGGCTATTACAGGTGGAAAGGGGAAAAAGAAATATGGTAAAGGGAATTCGAACAGGA